CCACCTTCCGCTTCAACTACGGGGGAGTATTAGAATATATCTATAATTAGTATAATCATAATTGTATGTTATTAGGATATATTCTAATTAGTATAATAATAACTGTATATTATTAGCTTCCAAATATAGAGATATTCACACTTGTATATTAGGACAAAGAATATCAATGAGAAGCAGAGAATTCAATTCTTACACTATTATCTTTCTCTTTGGGTTAATCGTTGATTCTCGATTAAAACACCCACCTCTTTAGTTTAAATATCACTCCTATCATTTCTATTTTTTGTTTGGTTTAAACACCACATTTATCAGTTTCTTTCCCTTCTTTGTTTTAACACCACTTTTACCTCCTGTTTGGTAAACACCACTTCTATCACCTCTATCCCTTATTTGGCTTAAACACTACTTATATAAATTTTTCTCATTTCTTATCCTTGGTTCCGAACTACGGAGCTTTGATTTCCTCATTATACTATGAGAGTGAGTAAGCACGAGGGTCCCAATCCTCTCCGAGCACATTAGTTATAAACCTTCTTTTCCTTTTCTTAAGTAACATTTAATTAGTGACACCCATTCACGCAAAGAATAAGCAAAATGGTTATCGTCAAGTACGATAGATGTGAGAGATGCTAATAACTTCCCCTCACATAATCGACTCCTTTACCCGTTTCTCTTACCCTTGGGTTTTATCAATATTTTCCCTTTCCTTTTGAAATAAATAAAGTTCGGTGGCGACTCTGTTGTATCATTGAGTGTGCGATGCGCTCGGGTATTTTTTGCGCTGCGACATAAGTTTTATTTAATTTGTTTTAATAATTTGTTTGTTTATACAATATTCTTACAACTGTTGGCGATATTTTCACCATTTTTATTTTTAGGATGAACATTATTTTAGAACATGTAACCATGCACACATCGAGGTCGATGATTGGATTCGTCCATATTTGATATAAGCAAGATTTGGTCACCTTATCCAAATAACTCCATACGACGTTGATAAAAAAATTCTTGCATTATTAGAAAGATAGAGACCAGAAACACACACGTTTTATTTTCTAATTGGTGATTTCACAATTACATTAGAGGACATACAATGTTGTTAGGTTTACGTGTAAATGGTTTGGCAGTGGCTGGAAGAACAAATGTGGCATGGTAGAATTGACAGACATAGATAGGAATGCCAATGTATTAAAATGTTTTGGCTTAAGACCCATTACAACAATATGCAATTAGACATGAATTCTGCTGTCAAACAAAATCTTAGAAAAACTAGAATTTATATTTTATTGTTTTCCGCTAGCTCATTATTTCCAGATACTAATGGTAACACTATACATATTCAGTTGTTACCATTATTAGAAGACATAGATAAAATAAGTAGATATAGTTGGGCACTGCAACTTTGGCGTGACTTTATAGGAACTTGTGCAGATGCACTAAAAAAATGTGCATAATTTTACAAGGTATGGAGTCTTACTACAAGCTTGTGGATGGTCTAGAATCCCGAGACTAACACCAACCAATCTATTTCATTTTTCATTTGCGGCCAAGTAAGTTTAAAATAAAATAATTTTTAAATATATATATTTTTAAATATTTCCTTATAATTGTTTTGTTTTTAGGTGGTCCGTATATGGGATGAATTATGAAAAAACGCTTAATCATTGTGCTCATGCATATCGGTCGTTCTTCGATTATTTTGAGGAAGGTGATGTATTATCTTTAAAACTAAACTATTAATATTTAAAGTTTAACATTATTTTTTTAACTAATTATTTGAATTTATGTAACAATTTATATGGGGGCTCTATATTGGACTTGAAGACGAGGATCCAACAGAAAGTGACATATGGAGTTTAACAACGCTTCTAATATGTTTCACTGCAGTATAAATGCATCATTTAGATAGGGTTAAACTCCATTTTGGCATTCAACAAGACATCACATGTCCATTTAGGTGCATGGATGCGTATCACACAAGTACAACGTCAGACCAATGGAAATTTAGAAAGACTATTATAGATAATAGTGTCATTAATGGAAAAACCACCACAATATTGTCTTACAAGGCTATATCATACCCACAGAATGTAAGCCAAGTAATGAATACTTGGCTTGGTATAAATATGTGTCAAATTTATTCTATCACATAATATATTACTATTTGACCCTCATAACCATCCCTCAACTTCAAACTTCCAAAACACCAGACCATCCACAAGCACTTACATCCAAACTCAATCACTTTGTACCACTAACACCTAACAACCAATATTAACAACCAATAACCTTTCAACCCAACACAACCACCTTATACCCCAAGCCAACACTACCAACAACAATACTCGTCATTTAACCTAATGCCCTACAACACCCGACAACAAAAGGCACAATTTACCCCTTCAATATCAAAAAACTAACAATAAACCCCATGTATCACCCAATATAACTAATACTCATTCACACAGCCTACCCCTCAAGAACACAATAACTTCCAAACACCCTAACCACAAATCCTTTTTTTTCCAATCACAAACATTCACCTCGAATTCATCCTAAGACTAACAAGGTTACGTCACCTTCACCATAACTCAATGTCAACTACTACCCGACCAAGCTGAAATCACGAGAGAACCACATTAAATTATGGTAGTGCGGCGGTGATAGAGCTAACTGATGACATGGTTGCTGACTTCATTGATAATAGAAAATGAAACGCAGACTTCTACTCGGCCATCAAATGTTGATGAGAACCAATTACATCTTAGAAGGTCTACGCGATTTGGAGAAGTTCCTAATTGTGGAACCGAGTGCCGCTTGCAATGGTCGCGTCAAAATCTAACGCTGGATATTTGTTTAATGCGATTTCATTTCCACTAAATAAATAAATGAATATTTCTTTAATTAATATTTTATTTAATATATTATTATTTTATTTATTAATTAAATATTGCTTTAATTATTATTTAATTATAAAAAAAATAATTTTGTATTTTATTATCTAAAAAATTAACAATAATCAATTATGATTATTTTAAAATAATTAATATTAAATTTTATTATAATTAAAAATAAATTTAGTTATTAAAAAATATGTTTCAAAAGACCCTCCAATGCATTGAGCAAACCTTCTAAACTTTTTAACTCTCATGCGAAAGTAATTGGCGACTCCTCTAAATTTTTTTGTAATAACCTTCAATGCAATCGGCGATTGCTTTATGCCGAAAAAATTGTTTGAAAAGATGGTACTTTGATGCATATGGTGAAAAAGGTGATAACTTAGTAAATACGATGGAAAAATATGGTAAAACAGAAAAAGTTTTTAGAAATGGTACCCGAAGAAGATTGAAAATGTGGAGCAGAAGTTACAATGAAAATCACTCGAAGCGCAAGGAACCAGAGGAGTTGTGAAATTTGAAAAGGAAAGATAACTTGTTGAACAAATTGTCATCGAAGTTCAGGAAAGGATGATTGAAGTTGACAAAGAAAAAGACAGTTTACACAAAAGGTGAAACATAATCTGAGAAGAGAAACAACCTTTATATAACACAACGAGGGAGACAATCAACGATTTAGAACAAACAAAAAAAGACAAACAAAAAAAATCAACAAACAAGATTCACCTCGAAATCACACAAGCACCCAAGTGCCATTGAGCACCCTAAAACACAATGTTCCCCCACTATAGGAGTTTAGGGCCACATGTGATAATACTCGCATTTAATGTGTGTATTTTCAATGTTACATTTTCCCACTCTTTAAGTCTTTCCACTTCTGCAAGATAGGAATTCGTCGCGAGGACCACAATCTTTAAAAGTCTATCTATCTTACACAATGATAGATTTTAGGGGGCAACTATTCTAAGTCGATCACTAGCCCAAGAGCAATAAAGCTCAATCACGATCAAGCTCATTCCAATAACGTTCATGCTAAGACATTAGTAACTCAGAGCGCTAACCACCGTCAGACACAATCAGCAACACCCGTGTTAAGCGAAAAACCACACGGGGACGACTTTAATCACCCACACCATATAAATACCAACACACGCCATTTCAAGTATTCTCTCATCCACAATCTCAAACTATTTTTTTACTCATTCGTTGACTTAAACATTTAAATATTGATCTTATACATTCACTTCACTCCGTCATATCAAAAAACATCTTCTATTGCGTTGAAACTCATTAGATCTCTTCGCTCCGTCATATCAAAAATATTCTCTATTGCGTCGAAGCTCATTAGATCTCACGATATTATTGTTTCATGTCCAGAAACAATAATTATTCATTATTTTTAAAAGTGTAGAAAAAACTTTAAAATACAAATTACAAAAGAGAGAGTAATCTACAAAATTTTAATGCAAAGTGATTTACTTTAGGTGTGAGGGAAGTGGTGTCAAGTTCAAATGACTTTGATTCTTCCTAAACAGTACTCGTAATAAGTGGAGCGCTTTATGGTCAGTGGAATGAAATGAATGAAAAATGACAAAAACTAAGAAGTCACACACACAAAACGAGGTTCACTCAGTAAGCAATAACTGTTACACTTTTCTTTATTACTCCTAGCCGTTCACATTTCTTTGTTTCTTTCCTCACTACACTTTTTTCCATCCCTGATCCCTGTCCTTTCTTAATGCTCATTGCTCACTCACCCAAACACACCCTCTGCAAAACTCTCTCCAACCCAACAACATTAACTACACTGCTACAGTTTCAGGTTCCTCTTGATCCCTTCAATTTTATTACTCTTACCTACCCTTCATTGCTTCCTTTTGTACTTCTTACCTGTCTCTAACAAGGGTCATGTCCCTTTCCTACCAACCTTTATCTGCATACCCTCTTTCACTTTCAAACTCACTGCTTCACCATGCAACTTGGGTCTCCGTTTTTCTTTTGTTTTACTATCTCTGAATCATAAAGTTCACATTTTTATCTTAAGGGGTTATTAAAAATTGAGTCTTTTCTATGAATGATTGGTGAAGTACTGTGATTTAGAAAATGGGTGCTACTAACTCAAGAGCTGAAAAGAATGAAGCTTTATGTATGTGTAAAGAAAGAAAACGGTTCATCAAGGTGGCTATTGATTCTAGATATGATTTAGCTGCTTCGCATGTTTCTTACATTCAATCTCTTAGAAATGTTGGTATAGCTTTAAGAAGATATGCTGAAGCTGAGGTGCTTGTAGAGTCTTCTTTGTCGATTTCTGATAAAACCCCTTCTCAAACTAGTTACCCTTCTCCTTCATCGCCGTTGAATGTTGCTGAGGTTGAGGCTTCAGATTCACCTTTGCATAATGAAAGTCCTTTTTCAACACCTGCTCCTTCTCTTAGTTACATGAGATCAAGTGGTAGTGGTTCTGTTACTGTTACAATTGATGCTTTTGGTAACAAGTACTTGGATGATGAATCCAATGTGGTTTCTTCTATGCCTCCACCTCCTCCTCCACCTGAGTTAGGTGCATCTTGGGATTTCTTTGATCCTGGTGAGGATAGTGAGAGCTTTAGGTTTGTTGTGAATGGTAGTGAGTTTAGAGATTGCAAGGATCAGTGGTTTCAACCTGGTTCAGATGATCATTTGGTTGTTTCAAGGGGAGTCGAAGGTTGTGAACAATTGATTGATGGAAATGTGAGACAGTTAGAGGTGGTAACGGCACCAGGTAGCGCTGATGAAGACATAAATCTTGATGTGGCTGAAAAGGGTGGTGTTGGAAAATCATGTTCAAAGAAGGAGAAGAAGCAGATGGATGAGAACAATGTGTGCACAGAAAGAGAGGATCCTTCAGAGTTCATCACTCATAGAGCCAAAGATTTTCTCTCCAGCATAAAGGATATAGAGCATAGGTTCATTCGAGCTTCGGAATCTGGTAGAGATGTTTCAAGGCTGTTAGAGGCAAACAAAATCAAAGTTGGATTTTCTGAGGCAAAAGGTAATTGCTTATTATAAAATTCAGATACTCAATATTGCATGCATTTTATATGAAATTCAATCTGTTACTAATCTACTTCAGTCTTCTGATAGGGAAGTCATCTACAATGGCTTTGATCACATCCATCCAGCCCGTTTGTTGCCGCAGAAAGACATCACCTGTTTTCCAAGGTAGGTTGTGACCTAATTTTGAATACAGACACTATTTGTTTTGCCTTTTTTTTTTATTAAGATTTTAATCTAAGCTTTTATATGTTTCATGTACCTGCTATTATTGCTTTGACCCTAAGTATGAATATGAACTAATTATGTTACCCTTTTATATATAGAACCTGTACAAAAAATCATAAGTTGGAAAAGGACAACATCTTTTCAATCATCCTCATCCAGGAACCCTTTGGCTTCAAGATCAAGGGAAGATATTGATGATAGTGGTAGTGATTTTGTTGAAGAATTCTGCATGATTGCTGGAAGTCATTCATCCACCCTTGATAGACTGTATGCATGGGAGCGAAAACTCTATGATGAAGTAAAGGTATTACCATAAGCCTGTTGATTATCAGTGTGTAGATTTGCTTGTAAATGTATTGATTCTCCAGCTTCATTTTTCATATTTTCAAGTCTTTTTGTGACTCCCTAATGTGTTATCCGTAGGCTAGTGAATCCATCAGGAAGGTCTATGATCGGAAATGTCACCAGCTCAGGCATCAATTTGCAAAAGACCAAGGCACTCATGTGATAGACAAGACCAGGGCAGTTGTGAAGGATTTGCATTCGCGGATAAGAGTGGCTATTTATTCAGTTGATTCAATATCCAAAAGAATTGAAAAAATGAGGGATGAAGAGTTGTATCCACAACTTCTGGAATTAACAGAAGGGTATGTAGAGAAATCTGTAGATTTTATATTTATATATCACCTTAAAGCTTTGCTATCTATATGTCAATTGAGCCTTACAGCTATAGCAACTATTGATTTATCGATGATGCAGATTGGTCAAGATGTGGAAGGCTATGCTTGAATGTCATCATGCACAATACATCACCATCTCCTTGGCATATCATTCAAGGAACACAACAGGAACCTTGCAAGGAGATGCACGCAGAGAAATAATGACTCGTCTGCTAGAAGAAATTGAGTTATTTGGTCTGAGTTTTGCAAACTGGATTAACAGCCACACCTCATACGTGGAAGCTCTCAATGGATGGTTGCAACATTGTATACTTCAACCGAGGGAGCGTTCCAGGAACAGAAGACCGTTCTCCCCTCGCAGAGCTTTGGCTCCGCCTATATTTGTTCTCTGTCGGGATTGGTGTGCTGGGATCAATGCTTTACCCTCTGAGGAACTTAGTGATGCAATAAGAAACTTTTTATCGGATCTTCACAGTTTGATGGAGCAGCAACACGATGATGAACTTCTTAAGAAGCAGGATTCAGCTAATGCAAGCACCCCAGAAAGTGAGATCAAAACAAATGAAGACAATGGAGGTGAATCTGCGGATTTGTGTTGCATACATGCAAGTTTAACCAAGGTTCTTGATCGGCTGACCAAATATTCTGAAGCATCATTGAAGATGTATGAGGATATCAGGCAGAAAAGCGAAGTGGCTCGAACAGCTTATTATAATTGCAGAACTATCAGGGGTGAAAAATGTTAATTCTCAACCACAGGTTTTATGCCATTGTATGATTCTAGTTCTGGATTTAACATGTATATGAAAACACCTTAAAGAAAAAAAGTGTGAACACACTTGGTGCTTGACTTGACTCCTTGTACTTGTTTGAAAAGGAAATTTGTATGATAAAGATTCAAGATTGGTAAAGTATATCTGGGCGTCCACAACTTCCATTATCAGAAGATGACAGTAAAATGAAGAAAAATAAATATGGTGCATATCTTGAAATTTTTAGTGTTTTACTTATTCCACCTATAATCTCTTACTGAAAACAAATCACATAAAGTACTAATAACTGATTATGAGCTCTGTGTGTGGGTTTCTTTGGTCAATGCAGCCACTATTACACTCCAATTTCAACAATGAGCTAAAATGATTTTTCATATATTCATTCTACAAGTGTATTCATCTTTTTTGCGGCCCTTATTTTTATTCAAATCCAACATCTTGTGTGTACTGAGAGTAAGCTCCTGATTGCTTGGCAATAGGTGCCCGTAATACATGATCAGGAAGATCAAATGCATCAACAAGTTCCTTTGCAATATTCCTCACTTGGAAACTTAGATATGCTGACAGTTTGTGGATTGCCTGAGAAATGGAAAAGAAAGTATCACTATTTAACATTATAATGTTCAAAAGGAAGTTTGAAAAAAAAAAGTGTTTTCTTTATTTCTTATATCCCTGCTTTTGTTGGTAGCTGCATGGCTAAATAATAGAAGTCCTTTGCATAAAAGTGTAGCTCATATATAGTGTATCTCTTTATGAAAGCCATCATAATTGTCCCTCACTGGCCCATTACCTACCTGGGTTTTTACTATAGTTATTCTTGCTTTTATAGAATGGTCCCTCATAGAACTTATTACTAGCTCTTTGATAATTAAGAGTTTTTCATTAATTTTTGTATTCACTAGTGTATTGATTAACTTTCAAAAATATTACTACTCCAATCACTATTATAAGCCAACATTTTATTTTCAAGTTTATTGAATAATTATCGTATCGGGTATATATCTAGATACACATGTTTTATTTCTAAGAATTTTTTAATGTACCTTGGCTTTGTTGGGAGCAACATAGTCGACATTGCGGTAGGTTCCAATGTCATTCCATATTCGATCCAGCGCATAAAGGTCACATGCAAGCTTCAGAGCAGCTTGAGCACTTGGGTCAGGACAGCTGGTTCAGCAGATATAGGCCATATTAGAATTGCGAGAGAAAAAAAGTAGATGCATGTTAGACAAAGGAACTAGTTATCACCTCTGCACAGCTTCAATGAATTTAGCAAGAATTTCTGACTCAATATGTGATTCTGCAAGTGTCAATAGATGATTTAAACATCTATTCCATGCACCAAAGTCCCCAAGAGATTTTGAATGCTTTTGAAGTCGTAAAGCAACGCTATGAAGTAATCTAGATGTTCGGTACTTCAAAATTGAAAATAAAAAAATAAGCAGTTGATTTGTCTGTGTGTCGGCGCATAAGATTTTTAACCTGAAGTCAAGGAATCAAAATAAAACTCACTCTGAAAGCATCCAATTGAAATTTTGGATTCCGTAGATGTTCTTCACTTTCCCACCTAGCAGTAACTGGATTTGGCTGTGATAGATAAGAGCTCATGGAATCTCTCAAATAATTCCATGTCACTGCTAAAGTCCCTCCTTTAAACTTTTTCTGGTATTGTTTCAAAAGATCACCTGCAACCTTCATTCGTAAAGCAAAAATTCAAACCTATTACTTACCTTAGTCGAAATAAAATGAATACAAGAACCAAACACACACAATGGACAGCCTGGTGATAAAAATCTATTTGAGAATTGATATAATTTGGATTTAGGCAATAACCTGTTGAAGAAGAACGGTGTTGTCGCCTTCAAATGTCTGAAAAATGTCATGATCATTCCTCAAGGAACCAAACCGATTGACAGCAGCATAACCATGGCCTCCACAGGCTTCCCTACAGGTACTGAGTGACTTTGCAGTATACGATGTTACATAAGCCTTCAGACCAGCCGAGAGAGCATGAACATCTGCAACTAATTCTTCATCGTTAGACTTCTTCATTTCGGCGTATTTCGCCACTAGGTTTGTAGTGGCAAAGTGGAATGCATAAGTTGAAGCCAGCATTGGCATAAGCTTATGCTGATGAGACTGGTAGTCAAGAATAGCTACTTCGGGTTGGTTTCGAGGTCCAAATTGCTGACGAATTAGAGAATATCTGATGGCAATTGTGGCAGCAACTTTGAGAACACTTACGGAAGAATATGCAAGGCCTACCCTACCACCAACAAGTTCCCCAAGAGTTGCACCAAACCGCTTATTGACTGAAGGAAGAGTACTTGTGTACTGCCCATCACGGGTGACATCTCCAAAACGGTTTAGAAGGTTGTCTCGAGGAATTCTCACTGAGCGGAATCTTAGAGCTCCATTATCAACACCATTAAGACCAACTTTATGACCACAATCATGTATCTCAATCCCAGGAAGTGTTTGATGAGTCTTCATATCCCTTATTGGAACGATGAAAGCATGAACACCCATATCAGAAATTCCTTTTACATCATAATTAGGTAACATCAGCCTAGCAAAAACAGTGGCAAACTTGCCATGCACAGCGGCATTGCCAATCCACCATTTGATGGCACCATCATTTGGAGTATCAATAACAAATTCATCAGTGATCGGATCAAAGGTGGCAAGAGTTTGAAGGCCCTGGACATTTGAACCTTTTTATGCACAGAAAAAGAGTAATCAGTAGTCTAGAAATGTGTACCCATTGGATAAGTGCTTAGCCGTAATATGTATGAGTAGAAACCCAATTGTAATGAAAACAAATAAAAAATTCATCAATAGCAGAGCGCCAAAGTTTTCAAAAGAGACACTAAGAGCTTCTCAGAACCCACTTTAAGTTCTTATCTCTCAGTTAGATAGACTATACTATGCGACATGTCAACATCACTATTAAAAACTCTACCAAACTCCACAATGATTTCACAACTCTTAAGAACTCGATGGATGCTGTTAAGAGTCCTACATCAGACAATATATGGTCTGAACATGTCTTTATAAATAGGGACAATCTTCACCTTACCAACTAGTTTTGTAGGATTGAGTTAGGCCCAACCACATTTTTTAATGAATCTGCCCACTTTTCACTTCACATAGGTGTTTTTTAAAGTTTGGTATCCGACCTTGCGACCGATTAATCCAAGTGGACCAATACCACCGTCCACTTGAGGGGCTCATTTAAAGTCAGAGCAAAGCTTTGTATGGACTTGGCACAACACAGAAATTGTTAGTCCCTAACGAAGTTCAAATCTGAGACCTTAGAGAGAAGCACACTCTTAGGGCTCAAGCCTTCACAAACAGGCCAACCCCTACGGTTTCGCAGTTGTTTTACAATCCTAAGAATTGCCAAGAACCTATTTCTCCTATAAGAACTCATTCTACACTCTAACATCAGATAAACACTCAAACCATAAACCTAATAAGAACCCTTAATAACCCTTTAAGAATCCAACGCTATTGAAGTTGCTAAGCAGAATAAGACAAAGTTCACAACAGAATAACTTTGACTCTATTTGAATAAACACCTTAATCAAACGCTTCCATTATCATACTAGTGCTTATGCATAAATTATTTATATAACGAAATCAGACAAGAGAAAATCCAATTTTTATATGGACTAAGCCTAGAAACTGTTTTATCTAGGAAAATTCATTAAAATAAGCCGAAATAAAATAAGCTAACATTCTCACAAGTGTTTATGTCAACCGATAAACTCAAATAAATCAATCCATAAGACAAAGGAAAAAAGAACAAGTAAGGAAAGTAAGTACCATGGTGAAGCTCAGTCATAGCAAAACAACCAGCATATTCCAAGCTATCAATACCATCATAGTACTTATCCCTGTGTTTCTGAGTTCCCAAATTGATAACAGAACCACCCCAAAGACTGCATAGATTAAACCAAACCATCCATCAAAACAAAACAAAACAACAAAAAGAAACAATTTTTACACTGCCCAAAGGAAACAAACCTATATTGAACACCCATTTTGATTCCAAGCGACATATCAACACCCCCCACAGCTTCCAAAATAGCAAAATACTTAGCAGGATCATTAACCACATAATTCAAAGGTCTAATCCCAGCTTCCCTAACAAGCCCCAAAAGCTGATTCATACATAACGCTCTGTGATCATCTTTCGAAATCTCAATCGGGGTTTGAAGATGAGGATTACCATTAAAGTAATCAAAAACCTTCTCTTGTACATCTCTATGCTTCCCTCTCATGTAATCCGTTAGCGAATTCGCATCCACGCTCAACTTCTTCCCACGACTGCAATTTTCCATCTCTACACAATTCCATGTTTCTTCTGCAAAATTTGCGAAACGAGGAATTGGGTTTAGGTGTAGGGATAATCTCTCGATTCGTCGTTCTGCTTCGGAATTTGATTCGTCGTTGGATTTTGATTTTGGAGTTTGCATTTTTTTGATTTGGGAATAATTTGATGTGAAATGAAATATTTTTGTTTACAAAATAGTACTAGTATTCAATTCAATATATATAATCAATTTTAAAATTGATGAATTAGGTAGACATTTATGAATTGATCAAGTTTTCAAATTATGGATTAGTTTTGATGGTGATGATAACGTGGATTTTAAGGAAATTAATTAATGAACCGTGATGATTACGGTACGTTACGAAGATGATGAATTCTGTTATAACGATTTCTATTTTTGTTTAGTCTTATATCCATATCTAGAATTCATAATTATAATAATATTAAATTTTATAGTAAGGATATATAATACCATTTCAAAAGGTGATTTTCTTAATATAAATACTTATAATGTATGAATTGATCCAAGATAGTGTTGATCGACTACCGTTATATATAAAAAGTTTGAAAATTTACCTTATCTTATCTTAGTATATCTTTTCGAAAGAAATGTAGCGTTAAAGTTGGACCTTTTTTTTTTTTTTATCAAAATCAGAATTAGAATTATTTAATATTTTTATTTATTTTATGGCTAATGCTTGTGTTATAAAAATATATTTTAAAAAATTATAAATAAAAAATTTAAGTCATTAATTATAATTGTATACTAATTTTAATATATAATTTTCAATAAATTTTTACTATATTTATCTCTTAACTTGTATTCTAAGCACAAGTTAACATTATCCTTATTAATTTAATTAATTAATTTAATTAATTAATTAATTATAATTAAAAAATAGTTTAATATCTCTTTTGGTCCTTTAACTTTACTCAGTGTTTCGCTTTAGTCACTTAACTAAAAAACGTTGCATAGTGGTCCATTAAGTAATATTATGTTACATTTTCTGGTCTCTTCTGTTAATTTTTCATGAAAAAGACGTTAAACGTAGCCTTGCTGGACGTTTTAAAGCTGACCTGAATTTTTTATTATTTTATATTAATTTAAATATTAGAAATAAATAAGATAAGAAGTTGAAAGGTATTAGGACAAAGGTCATTATTAATTTGCATCAGTTTGATCCTGGAACTAAAGTTCATTATGAGAGTTTAAAATCTGTAGCTCAAGTTTCGTTGAAGACGATTCCAAAATAGTTAACAAAAACAACAAAGTTTTCAAGCGAAAAAATGATTTAAGAAAGATAGATCGACCAGACATTCAACTTGTTTAGAAATTTAGTTGATGATTCTGTTCTTGATATTTTTCGCAAAGAAGCTGAGAATTGTGGTTGATTGCAAGTTATGTTTTTTTTAACTTGTTTAGAAATTTTGTTAAGATCTATGCTAATTTATTCTATGTCTGATTTTTTGCAGGGTATGTAATAATGAAGTCTTGTATGATATTTGCTTCCTTACCCTCAAGCTCACAACTCTAATCTGTAAGCTATTTTTCAACCATTTTGTAGTCCAAAATAATGTTATTTCTTCTGTGTTTTTAGAGAAGTACATCTATTGTTTGTGGTGGGGATTGCAGAACTTAGGTTTGGTTTTAGGATTTGTAAAATCTTTCCTTCTTTGTTGATTTCGTGTTGTCACCATATGGCCAATGTAACTTGTTTTTCTTTTTCAATGTAGGAACCTTATAATGTTTCACAAGAAATGGAACGGAAACGGGCAATATCCATAATCCTCTCCCAAACAAGACAACAAGAGAAAAGAGATGAAGAGGTCTTGTCCTTTAAAGAAGAAACAAATATTTTCACACAAAAGTTGTTTACCTGGCATGCCAACTCAACAATAGTTAACATTTTTTACACAAACTAACTGTATGGATTAAATGGTTTAACGGAAGTGAAGTTAAGGGATCATTATGTAATGTTTTTTAGTTCGAGGACCAAAGCGAAACGTCGCTCAAAGTTAAGGGATCTAAGGACTACTTATGCCTTATCTCTATAAGCCTTTTTTTTCAACCATGTAGTCATATACCTGCACAGCCTCATGATCCCTCTCATTCTGATGTGAATTCAGTTTTTCCCTAAAAGCTGCTAGGAGTGTCTAATTGTCATGCCTCGTGCACTGACAACCACTCTCTTGCCTCTCGAGTGTTACATGTAACCACTCTCCGTCCTCTTCGGCCTTGGGTGTTACATGCCCCCTAGCTTCCACTTGGTTAGTCCCCTAACCATATCATACTGGGAGATGTTTGACTCTAATACCATTTGTAACGCCTCAGACTGCTTTCAGGATTATCGACTGACCTCACAAATTAACACAGATCTTTTCAACATATTTTATCCTCACTCACACGCTTTTTGAGAAATTTCTCAAAAGGTCACCCATCCTAAAATTGTTCCAAGTCAAGCACATTTAATTGTGGATTTCTCATGGAACGAGCTACCAAAAAGAAGACGCATCTTGTTGGTATATGTAGTACAAATATCCTTATAAGTCTTGTTTTAACCATGCAGTCTCATACCTGCACAACCTCGGGATCCTTATAATCCTGGTTACATGTAACCACTTTCCGCTCTTTTCGGTTTTGGGTGTTACATTCTCACTGTCATGGGCAAGCTCTAACCAACTGTCGCTACTCGAAAAATGCATCGTGCAACGACGGGGAGGCGAAAAAGAAAGGACAGAAGAGTCGCCACCGAACTTTATTTATCCCATGAGGGGAAAGGAAAATATCGAGAAAACCTTAGGAAAGAAATGGATAAGATGGTCTCGCGACCAAGAACGGGTTCGGAAGCCGGTTATGCGAAGGGAAGGTATTAGCACCCCTCGCATCCATCGTACTCGATGGGAACCTTTTGTTTGTCGATGTGTGAATTTATTTGCTTAAATATTATGCTATAAAAGGTGTTCCACAGGGTAAAAGAAAAGGGTATTAGAGACGGGGAAAGAGAGATAACAGAGGGGAGTGGAGAAAGAACGGACTCGGTAGGACTTCGCGGTCCTAGGCCTACGTATTCTCAATAGGTATGAGAAAGTCAGAGTCGACGTAGTTCGGGAAACTACAGATATAGGGGTAATGTGCTCGGCAAGGATTGTGGCCCTTGTGCCTACGTATCTTTACTTGAACGAAGTAAAGAATCAGAGCAGCCGTAGTTCGGCCTACGGGGTGTTGATGTTTTTTATGGATGATGCTATCGTGCGCATTCTAGCAGTTAGGTGTTTTGCTGCTCGCTCGTTGGAGACTTAGGCGTTACCTGTTTGCGGTAGAACGGACGTAACATATCCTTTTTGAAATGATTAGGTTTTCGCCACGCGAGGCAAGAAGTCACGTTTGATTGATTGGATCGTTTTTAGGGGGCGAGACATGTCCTCGGATAGTAACCCCTACGGGTAGTACCCAATTCTTTGTCTCAAAGTTTTTGTTTATGAAAAGGTATGGCGAACGAGGCGTCTTCATATTGAAAGACGAGCGTCGAAACCACCCTCACTACAGTGGGCATCCCTACGCTCGGAGAAGAAGAGGTCTACACCCAATCCTCTCTCTTTAATTCAATGCAAAGAGAACTTCATTCTCTTATTAAAGGTGTTTTTGGCTTTGAATGGTAAGTGTTTTGCGACAGAGAACCCTACGGTAAACGTCAACACTCGGGATAGGAGAAGGCCTACGCCTAACCACTCCACGACCATTCAAGTTTTGGTTATGAAAAGATTTGAAAATGCACTCGGTACAGGACCGAGGTTTTAGGTGTGAAAATTGTGGAAGGAAGTTGTGAAAGCGAGATGGTGGATAAAGGCGTGTCTTTGTATTGAAAGACGAATATCAAGACCACCCTCACTACAGTGGGCATCCCAACATTCGGAGAGGAAGAGGTCTACACCCAATCCTCTCTCTTTAATTCAATACAAAGAGAAACGATTCCTTATTGAAGGGGTTTGAAAATGCACTCGGTACGAGACCGAGGTTTTAAGAGCAAAAGGGGTGGAAGCGTCTTTGTATTGACAGACGAGCATCGAGACCACCCTCACTACAGTGGGCATCCCAACACTCGGAGAGGAAGAAAGTCTACACTTAATCCCCTCTTTTTAACTCAATACGAAGATGATTTGATTTTGAAAATTGTTTGACAAAGTTTTTGAATCGAGTCGGGACAAGTAATGAAGAGAGAAAAGAGGTGGTCTCAGATCCAACATTACCTATCAATAATTTGACTGGTAATGAATTACGGAGGTCTCGTCATCGACCAAAAAGATGAAAATGGGGCAAAAGGTCCAATAATAAATGAAAAATAAAATCAACTCTAAAAAGGAAATGTAGTCAAAAAACTCTAACAAGAAAGAAAATAAGAATTGCAAATTCCTAATATATATAAAATAAATCAACACTTCAAAATAACATAGAATATAAAACTATAAATAAAATATATTAAAGTTAATATAAAATCTTTTCATAACATATATATACATAATATAATATATACAAAATAACAGTTCATTTAAAAAAACAATATATAATAATAATAACTACATAAATAAAAAAGAGTTAAGAAATAATAAAAAAAGAAACAAGGGGAGGGTGTGTGGAATCAACAGGCCTGGGTTAAATGAATCATCACCAATATTTTTGAAAACCAAATCCAACAAGGACAGACAAGCATCAACTCAAATCAAAATGGAGAAAGATCAAAGACAAGAAAAAAACACACGCACGCACCCCGTCTCCGAGTCTCCTCAATATTCGCTTTGGGTTCGCGAGTATTGTGTTGATTTTCGTCTGATTCGGCTTCTTCGCTTCACCTTTGATTCCTTCCGGCGGCGGTTCTCATTCTGGCTTGCTAGCTTTGGGGCGGCGGCGCGAAACTACGATGTGAGTAGTGAGTTTGGTATTGTGAATCTGAGTGTTTGTTAGCAACACTGGAAGTTGGGTTTGAAGATTCAAGTTGGAAGAACGTTCGAAGGTGGTTATTTTTTGAAGTTGTTTGTTAAAGATGATGGATGTAGAAGGTAATTGCGGTTAAAGAAAGACGAAGTTGTTGAAGGTGAAGTTGAGATTTGAATGATGATGGCTGTTGTTAGTCATGTGAGTTGAAT